TAAAATGGTTCAATCGAAAGTTACCTCAATCGTTTTTGTTTCAAATCTACTTAATACAGCAGACAAAAATCATTTATTTTTAACGCGGCGATAAAAATTCAACGTGCCTAGCAGAGCAAACGCCACTAGAATGTTATCTTTCCTTTTAATTTGCACAGACAGTGGGCGGATGAACATTATAAAGACGACTCTTTTTTAATGAAAAATAATCTCCTCTATACGGCTAAAAGTGGTACAAAACGCAACAAAGCAAAAGTATGTACGCACGACTTTTAACTTCTTAGTTTCCTCAATTTTTAAATATCGCAAGGTGAAGTTACCGGTCGGCCATAGAATCGTTACTTTCCAGGTTTAACAGAAAGTCGTTTTTCCTGAATTTTCCTAACTTACTTGTATAAACAGCCATTTAGATGTCAAGGAAGTGACGTTTTATTCAGAATGTAAGACTCTCTTAGACTCTTTGTGGTTACTGCCGATAACACCAGTCAGCAAAAAATGGCGGGTATATGGGGAGGAATAATGCAGGCTATCTCTTGCTATCTCTTCCCAGACCTCCGTCACATTTAGCACGTCCACTCTATCGATCTAATGATCAAGAACCAAGCGATAACATCGCATGAAGGATCGCGGTTCTCGGGACGGGATAAGAAATGTCGTCGGTTTCACAATCATAAATTAACAGTAAGTTATTGTTTCTCCACTCAAGGCTCGATTTCAACGGGATTGGGTTCCGCCACTGGATGAGTAGTACTTAATTCAGTCAGCTCACGGACTCCTGAAATTTCTCGCCTTTTCCTATTGTTCATCACTCGCTTGGAACTGCGTAGAAAATTAAATTGAAAAGCTCATCAATCCTTAATCCCTAAGTAAGTGAGTAAGACAGCAAGTATTCTCGAGATGAATTTAAGCTAGCCTACAATGATAAGCGCTCGATCAACCTCACTCCCATGCAAGGTCTTTCTGGCGAAAGGAGGAGAGACCCTTGGAACGACACTGGCGTAGCCTCGTTGGCGCTCGATTAAACCAACTGCGATTGATTCAGAACAACGCCCGCAAGGAAGAAGGCGCGCGCAAACACAAGAGGAGGCGCTTGCCAAAGTAGTCATGCGGTTTGGTATGAAAACCCAAGAATGAACCGAATGGAAACTTTCCTTGATGAAAAAAAATGGCTTTTAACAATTTTACTCCCAAGAGCTCATTAGTAATTCTCCTTACTGTATGCTGAACAATTTGTAAGAAGTTGGCTCGGAGAATTTGTCATTTGGTCAACTAACAATCAATTAATTGCTATTTTTCTCTATTGTTATCACTTGTCTGCTTGATATGATATTGACATCGTAAGGAGAACTCTATTTTGGTCACTCATAATAATTAATAATTAATAATAATTTATTGACTTCTAAGGCGCAAATTCTATATATATATATATCTATGTATATACATTCACTCACTCATATAGTCACTCATGGGAGTTTAGGGCTTAAAGCGATGAGAATGTTACGTCAACAGACGATTTGTTGAAATAAATTGGAAAGAAGCTCTATGGTTTACAACAAACGGGAAACAAACACCGAAAAAAGTAGTAGTTGAGAGTCCTTCTAAGCACTTTGCAATGACAAAATAGGACAACTAGTTGTTAGTTTTTGTGTGCCTAGCAACCTAACACTCATAACCAGCCAGGGTACAGAGATCTCGTCAAATAGGTCCGTACCCTAAGCAACATAGACTTAGATTGCTGTGATATCATGAAACGACGATCACCTAAGCCCAGCTATTAATACGAAATACTAGTGTCACTAGGATCCTACTTTACGGGATGAGATGGTCAACTATTTACAAAAAGGTCCTTTTAGATAATAATGTACTCACATTACTCCGAGAATTAAAATGACGATGGATAGAAGAACAAGTGCTACGGCAACTCCAAAGACGACCCATCCCCAGTAGTGACTTTGAGCAGCTTCTGGGGGCGAACTTGGGGTGACTAGTACAAAAAAAAACACCATTTACTGCAGGTTTGTATTTCTGAGAAACATCATCTCTTACCATGGACGTAGCTACAAGGGGGGAGGGGAGTGGGTCCTGAGGTTCCCTTTCCCTTATTCTCACTACCTGTTTGCTGAATAATGTATGGATATCCTTGAGAGAAGTTACATGTTGATCACTTCGGGGAGTTAAAGGATTAAAGAAATAGTCCCGTGATATGGGGATTCGCCAATAATCTTTTACTTTGTTTCGTTTTGCTTTGATATTTTGTTCAGTTACACCTGTACAGGTGTGTCGGTCGGCATTCAGTTTAAAGCCTGAACTACAACTGCAGTTATATTCCCTGTTAAGTCTTGTGCAATAGTGCGCACAGCCACCGTTGTTCCTTTTGCATGGATTAACATCTGCATAAAATTTTAACATTATGAAAAACCGTCATAACAAAATCGAAGGACGACAAACCAAACAGACAAAAAAACAAAGACAGAAAACCAAACTGGCCAGGAAGTAGAAAAAAATTGTAGAAGAGTTGTGTTCCCAAAACAATTTCGGGATGTGATAATCGCATAATAGCGTTGAAATCAAACTTGAGCAAAACCAAGCGATCTGTAAAATTTGAGTCATCAGGAACCTGTGCAGGAATGCGTTGTGTAACAAACAAATTGCGTGACAAGTAAAGAAGAAATGGGAAATGAACTTACCAGTCGGTACTGAGGCACTTACACCAGGTGATGCTCGAGTGGGCGAAACATCAATTGTATTGGTTTGACCACTGACTATATTGACTTGATCAGTGACTGTACTGCTTTGACCACTGACTATACTGGTTTGACCAGCGACAACACTGGTTTGAAGAGCGACTGTACTGGTTTGGCCACTGACTGTACTGGTTTGGCCACTGACTGTACTGGTTTGGCCACTGACTTTACTGGTTTGACCAGTGACTGTACTGCTTTGACCAGTGACAGCAGTGGTTTGAACAGCGACTGTGTTGGTTTGGCCACTGACTGTACTGGTTTGACCAGTGACAACACTGGTTTGAACAGTGACTGAACTGGTTTGGCCACTGACTGTACTGGTTTGACCAGTGACTATACTGGTTTGACCAATGACAACACTGGTTTGAACAGTGACAACACTGGTTTGAACATTGACAGACCTGGTTGGACTAACTAAGGAGGTCTTGTGGCTACTAACAGAGAGGGAAGAAGTATCCGGCCCAGTGGGCTGTAGACTCAAACTTGGGGAGACCGGAAGAGAAACTGGAGATGAGGACCGTTTAGCATTAGTAGAGACCACAACAGAACCCTGGGAGGAAACTCGTCTTGATGAGATTTGACCTGAGCTGCTTCTAGCATGGGTGAACAGGAGAGCTGAGAAAAATTAAAAATCGCAAAAGAGAGTAATGTCAGTAATATTTGCGGTTAAAACTTCACCACAAGCTTATAGGTCAGTAAAACCCAGTAAAACCCAGAAATGAAGTGCAAATAATGAACACAGGTATGTACTTCAACGGTCGCTCCCATGTATCAAGAATTTTCTGTCTCCGTCGCAGCCATGAACACAAGCGGAAATGTACTCAGAATTCTTTGATGTATTCATGAAACTCGCATTGAAGTAAACAATCTGAATAACGCTGGACGCAAAAAACAAAGGTGGTTTTAATTACGTCTTGGGTATGTTTGCTTTATGAAAACCCAGTCATCTAATTTGAATGTGGAATTGTTACACTGATACATAGCACCAATTCAAAATGACAAGAACGGTTGTCATAGCTTTTAAAAATTGAAAAACTGACTCAGTGAACCGGGGAGAGGTAGGAGTCCGCGGATAATCCAGGAGGTCCTCTTACCAACTGATTATGCAACTTTCACATATCTACGAAGTGCCTCATTAAAATTCATTCATGCAAAAACTCGTTCATGAAGGCTTCATTCGTTTACGGTTTATTTAAATTCCAATTGCCCGCACAATTAAAGTTATCAATCTCTCTTCTTTCTACGACAAAACCCAACACTCTGCCAACAAAAATGTAAGCTAAAAACCTCAACAACTTAGGATTTCCGTGCGAGACATTCCTGAAAACGTTTTCTAACGAACTATTTCATCATGTTTGTTCATTAACGTCGCATTCAAACAAGCAAGATAGTTTCTAGGATAAAAAAAAAAACCACTTACTTGCAAAAAGAACTACAGAAATAACAGCCATCTTTTGAAAATTCTTCACTACCATGTTGAAATTAATGGTAGCACGCGTATTAGCACTGTGGCAGCATGAGCTCGTAGTGCTGAAAATTGTAACTCTGTCTGTTGTTCCCAGCGGATTAATAAAGTCGGATTTCCGGTAGCAAGTTAAATATTAACGTTTTAAGAGCGCTTGTCTGTAGAAATCAGACAAATCCTAAATTTCGTGGCAAGGGTGAAAAATTCGATTTCTTTCTTATATTAATATTAGACAGGCAAGACTATAACTAAATCAATTCATTATTCCTCTTTATACTATAACAAAAACAACAATGGAAAACAGCATCTCTTTATTTGTATCCTGCACTTACATTTTTTTGTTTACTTAATGTTGACGAGAAAAGAAGCGAGCACTGGCAGCCCTAATAAGTAACCATATGGGGCTGGTTAAACAGGGCAATCAAACTTAGGATCACAATAATAAATGGTTTAATTAAGGATCATGGAAATGTTTCAGGAATACAAGGAAACACACACCTACATATTCTAGCATACAAAACTTACAAGGATGTATTTAGCTAGGAGTCAAAAACTGTTCCCAACTTAGGTAGAAAAGAAATAATTTTTTTGAAAACAAATTCAGTAATTACTTTCATATTTGTTAAAGTTATTATTATTGTGATTTGCCTAACTTCAGCCAATGAAATATTGAAATAAAGACTTCTACCACCATCACAGATTTACGAAAAAAACATGATCCTGTTTTGTTGTTTAATTTTGAACGACTAGAAGATTTAGAATAAAAGGGTTTTTGCTCTCAAGTTTCTATGCGTGATTGATTCGGGCTTCACTCTCATCAACTATCACGCGATAGAAATCTCGAACTTACAATTTAATTGTTAACGGGAAGGTAACGACAAGCACCGTGCAATACTAAAATATAAGAGCGCTGAAATCAATTTTAAAACATCACACTGCCTAACTAGATTAATTAGCATCAAAAGCTTGCTAACAATTTTCAGGACATCTAGTTTGAAAAACAAAATCAAGCCTTAAGGAAGAGTTTTCCAGTTGTCTTCCTGCCTTCGAGCAGATCAAAAGCTTTCTTCGCTTCTGAAAGCTTAAAAATGGTAAAATCTTCCATTTTTATCTTGCCCTGTGCGATCCAATCAAATACAGCGTTTGCTCTCTCAGACAACTCCTCAGGCGTCGCTACATAGTCGACTATTTTTGGGTGAGAGAGAGTATGTGACCCATTCCCATTTGAAAGAATAAAAGGATCCAAAGATTCAGGGATACCAGATGCGTAGCCGTAAAGAACCATGGTACCAAGTTTCTTGAGGCACTTAAAACCTGCAGAAAACCAAGTCTTACTTCAAGATTTTATGTCAATCCAAACAAAATCACATGAAAACTCTGCATATCACGGACAATATAAGTAATAAATATGAACTGCGCAGTAAGTATATTGGATAACACCTAAGCAGGTTTTTTACAGTAAAGCCTGAAAAATAAGAGGTGAAGTCTGTACTCGAGCCTACTGGCCAACCCAGCCGAAGCCGGTTTCCGAGCACCAAGAACCGACAAGGAGTATGACTACTTCCCCCTGGATTGGATGCCAGTCCATCGCAAGGCAGTATAGTGCTTTTTATTGAGCCCTATTTTCGCAACTCGCGTTGTTTGTGTTTTTCTTTAGATCTGTCGTTATTTTTTTTTCACTGTGCTGATCATCATTGTGATACACACATGTACCTTTGTAAACACAACTTGCCTTTAAGAAAGGTCTCCTTCCCAACCCCATCATAAATGACGTTGACTCCGGAACCTCCTGTGATTCTGTTGACTTCTTGGACAAAGTCTTGATCAGAGTACAGAATAACTTCATCGGCTCCACAAGCCTTTGCCTTGACAGCTTTCTCTTGGGTGCTTGTTGTCCCAATAACATACGCTCCTACAATCCAACACAACAGGTCAGCGTCTAAAGTAAGTCTTGGTCAGTTTAATCTTCGTTATTAACTTGTTCTAGAAAACGAACTGGTGATACATGGATACATTCTTAAAAAAACCATTGTTAAAAAAAACTCGAAAAATTATGTTAAATTTCACCGTATAAGTGCAATATCAATATTGTTATTATTGTTATCATTATTGTTATAATTATTAATAGAGCCTCTCTTCACCTCTGGAGGTGTAAATGAGAACCGGGATGTACTGTGAACGTGTTTTTTTGAAGGAGAGGAGGAGTCATTGTATTGGAGTGAGCTGAAGGCTGTTAACCCTTTAACTCTCATGAATGACCAAGACAGAATTTCTCCTAACAAGATATATACAACATCAACTAGATAAGTGACGAGATTAAAGAAAAAGATCAATTTGGGGATAATTAGTTGCTCCAATACTAAATTCTCTGAACTAACATTACAAGAATTGCATGGTTGACAATAAGGAGAATTACAAATTTGATCTGGGAGTTCAAGAAATAATTTTGTTACCTGCATTTTTAGCCACTTGACATATCAGGGATCCAGTCCCACCAGCAGCTGCATGTACCAACACCTTGGTACCAGGTCCCACCGGGAATACAGTGTGAACCATGAAATGAGCAGTGATACCCTGAATCATGGTTGTTGCTGCTTGTTCATAAGTGATGTTTGATGGCACTTTGACAAGTCTTTCCACTGGAATAACACTGTATTCTGCAAAACTTCCTAATTTGTTTCGAAGAGATGAAATTACATTTAATCAGAAATTCTTTACCTCATTATTCCTACCTGCAACAGAGTCTGAGAACTTACATTCATGTAGGGTCCAGAGAAAAGTTGGTACCTCGCTAAGAAACTACTTCTTCTTTGATCTCTGAGCTGATATATATATATATATATTTTTCATTATGTCAATTGCGCATATTAACTGAGTGTGGATAGCTTCCATTATTCATCACAAACAAGTGTGGTTATTATGCACCCGTATACCCATAAGGCCACTTGGTCTCAACGTCCATGGCATTTTAAGGCGTCAACTTGTTTGCAGTCAAATGTTTATGGGAATGTGTTAACCATTGAAACCCCAAGAATGACTAAGATCTAATTTCTCCGAACAAAATTGCCCCATAATCAAAAATTAAGGTCACGAGAATAACAGAAAGGATCACCAAAAAAAGAAGCACTTGATTGAGAAACAAATTCTCCTTGTCAGCACTTAAGGAAATCCAAAGAGACCAGTATGGAGAAAATACATACTGATGTTAGGGTGTAAAGATTAAAATAGCATTCAAAGCCACTAAATTTTCACACAGTCTTTGACAGGATGTGTACCCAGATACCCTAAGAGACTCGATCCGTTGTTAATTGTGAGCTGTTTGCTTAATTCTCCTTGCAATCTCTTCTATACATTACTGAGAAGCCAACAGATCAAAGTATCAGAAAATAGCGGTGAACTGAAAAACGATGGAATGACAGGTACAACCGTTTTACAAAATAGCTGAATTTAAACTTATTCACCTGAATTAAGATGAAAATATGCAACACGATCTCCTACTGCCACACCAGTGACACCAGACCCCAGCTTTTCAACAACCCCCGCGGCCTCCACTCCAAGGATTGCAGGAATGCCAGCTATGTGAAAAAGCCCTTCGCGATGATACACATCAAGATAATTAACACCGCTAATAAGATTCTTTACTAAGGCCTACAAAAAGAAGAAACAATGGGTTAAAAGAAAAATAAGATAAAAAAAGACAATAAGGTCACTGAGACGTTTTATGAATTTCGTTCGAATAATTTACAAGTTAGCTTTACAGTTACACGTTCCGTTGTACAGCCTACTATTCCCAACCCTTTCTTCCACTCTCAAGGAACTGTCACGTCTCATGACATTTCAGTTGCCTCTCATATTGAACGGGTTCTGGTAGAGTAAGGGCAAATCAACGTGTATTTTGCTGGAAAGACTTGACACTTGACACACCGATTCAAATTCCCCATCCCATCCAGGCAAGGTTCAAATTCCCTACTCCCTGAAAGGCCTTTCATGTCAAATTCCCCTTTCCTCAAGCACAAACAACATACAAATGCGCAAGGGTTGCCCAAGAGGAGGCGGGGGTGAAGCTTCGAAATTGATCGACAGATTAGTTTCCCCAAAGTTGTCAGGTGATAGCGTGAGACCAGTTTCTTGCCGAACTTGTCTTCCTGTATATATTCATCACTTTCGTCTAACCAGAAGTTCCTTTCTGTGGATTTTCCTGCTACGGTAATTTTCTCATTGTTCCAAATAATGTCTTAAATTCTGAGTGGTTCAAAATGATTGGCCAGTAAATGTCAGTGTAATCTCTCCCCATGTTTTGTAAAATGTCAAAGTAAAAGAGAGGTATAATATTTAGCTCAAAAGGTTCCGTATCGTAATGGCGATCGACTTTAGAGTTCTGTTAACTTTCTCTAGATTAAAAGACGGAATGTTCTCTACTCGTTATATACATCTTCCTTTTAAGTCCGCTTACTTAAGCACACATTAGTGACCAAACAATCCTTCCAATCTCGTCTTTTTAACCATTTTTTTTTAAACATGTAAAAATTTGCATTTCCTTTCTCATCAATTCCCACGGACAACCTTTGTGCTCAATGCCTTTGTATTTTAGAGCAAACAGTGAAATCGTGTTTGTTTATCCCTAAGTAAATTATTTGCCTTCAAGAAGACAGTGGCTAAATTTCCAGACACCTGGCCCCAGGGACCAGGTGTCTGGAATTATTTCTAGGCATTCAGATGCCTGAATTTGAAGTTTTAGAACACAAAGCGAAAAAATATTTTCCCTTGCTAACGGGGCAAACTTTATTTCGCAACTTTGCAAAAGAAAGTTAAGCAGAAATTTTTTTATTATCAGCCGACAGTTTTGACTGCTCCACATGACGAGCTTTGGTCACCAAGAGAATTCGGCCCCCCACCATCTACTCGAGGCGTTAACTCCTGGTGATAAAACCCTAACAATCACCGAATACTGCGAATAGTCGCAAATGGTCGCGAATAGTGACGAATGAAGATAGATATATTGACTGTCAAGTTTTCGGTAAGTGACTAAATCAAGTTCCCCTATTTATCAGGCGCCCCTATATGTCATGTCGCGTTACCAACCCCGGTAATTTTGATTCTCCTACTAAATAGAATGTTCTTTGTATGTGTTTTAAAATTGAGTCGTTTACTGTAATCTGTACCACAGATCGAGAGCGCCCAAGATAATAAGATAGCTGACGGATTTTGAAGGAAATTGGAGTCGGGATAAATAAGCAATTTGTAATAATTCTCAAAATGAATTAGTACAATGGAAAATATTCTAATAGCTTTAGGAGATGTTACATCATACAATTTTTGACGACGTCAAAAAAGAAAGACGCATCTGTATGGCAGGTAGGAAAATATGAAATGCCAGAATTCGGAATTGGAACCGGAATACTCAGAATACCCGGAATACACGGAATGACCGAAAAATGATGAATTAAAAAAGATAAATTAATGAATTTATTGTTTCGTAATATTTTAAAAAATGCATTAGTTTCCAGGTCACGCAGATTTGTAAACTATGAAAATCATTTCATATGAGCACAGCAGTCCGATTTCTTGAAAATTTTTAATGTTTTGTTTTTTTCAAATGCTTCGAATATTAAAATATCATCACCTCGTTTTTGCGCGAACTGGAATAATTCCTGGAAATACTTTATTTCTATTAATAAAGCACAGTTTTAGCAGTTTTAGAGGTAACTTTGAAAGAGGCGTTGGTCTTAAAAATTACTGGTGCGTGGAGATTTACACTCTGATGAAGTTTATGGACATGACAGTCCAAAGTTTCTTTGCAAACAACGATAGACACGTCCGAGACAGTGAAAACAAGCAGTGTTGGCGTGACAGTCTGTCAGTTTATTTATTGACAGGTAATGATTAAACAAGACCCGCCCACCCCAATAAAAAAAACAAAATCATAAACCCCTGTCGAAGGTAACAAAGTTAAAACACATGGAAATAAGGAAAGCTACAAAACAAGAAATTATTAAACGGGAGGGATGGGAGGGAACTTAAAAATCGAGCGAGCTGGTGATGTGCGTGAGGCGAGAACCGAGACTGATTAAGTTGCAAGGCTGCGGGTTATTTTACTTATTTAAGGCTGCTGATTATTTTTACTTTATTTTTATTTTCATTTAATTAATTAACTATTTATTCATTAAAATTTATTATTTTAAATTATTAATTAATTAATAATTTTTTTTAAATTTATCATTTTTCGGTCATTCCGGAAATTCCGGCTGTTCTAGGTATTCCAAGTATTCCGGTTCCAGTTCCGAATTCCAACATTCCTGTTTTCCAACCTGTCTATCTGTATTCACGCCTTTGGAGGCCGCCTGTGTGAATTACAAGTGTCTGGTTACTATGCAAATGAGATTATGCAAGATTGAAGCTCGCCTAACCTTATTTGTTTAAAAGGATTAGGCGGCATAATGCCAATTGGGACACAAATTTACCTGATGCTATTTCAATATTTGTTTGATTTGTCATGAACATCTATGAAAAGATAAAGTGAAAGAGGCCCACAATTTTGGGCGGTCAACGACTCTCCCAGACAGTCACTATTATTGTAACTCTACTGAGCGTAAATTCACTGTCTGCCAACCATCGGATCATTTTCCAATCATACCACTAAGAGGTAGAGAGTGCAGACTTTTCTTTGTGCTATTCCACACCCTACTGGTCATTGTTTGCGAGTCTGAATATATTTTGGGCGATGGAAATGTCTTTAAACCCTCATGTTTTCTCGATCAAAAAATTTTGCTAATCGAACCTTTTTGGCGACAAAAGTTCTTCATCTAGAGTCTGAGTAAAGGCGCTCAATCACTACTTGGCGCACGCGTGCAAAAATTTCCTTACAACCTTTGAGAGCCTTACCTCGTTGTGTCCTGGTTCAGGAATAGATGCCTCTTCGTATTTCAATTGAGACGAATCTCCAAGTGCATTGATCTTAATAGCTTTCATGATGACGCTAGCTTTATCCTGGGGATTGTTGTATGTCTTACCGAGGGTCAAGCGACGATGCCGTGAAATCGAAAATGACCAACGAAGCTGCAATGGTAATGCTTAAATCCTACTGGCTAGAGGTACGCCCGAGGAGCACTAGTGACGAGTTTCCGAGTCGGGTGATTATCAGAAATTGTCGGCTATTGTAATATGGCGGACTATTCCAGTAACACCATTTGCGATTTACCAACATTTGGCCTCTGGAAGAGGATCCTCTTTTCATGGATCACCTGACAGAAACAAACAATCATTATCACAGGTGACATGAATTTAGACAGACTTAAACCTGAGAATAAAGGCGGCAAACTAAGGAACTTAGAAAAAATACGTGAACTTGAATGCCTGATTAAACGAGCGACGAGAATAACAAGATCATCACAAACTTTGCTAGATGTAATTCTTACTAATAAAGCCGATCGGTTGGTTTATGGCTTCCTAACTGAAAAAGTCATGCGACATGCCGCGAAAATAATTAAATTTAGAAGCACAAAGTCATTGGTAAAATTTCCGCACAGCCCCATACTTCATTATGCATTCAGTTCTTGAATAGAGAAAACAATACATTGCCATTGGGAAAACAGATTTGTTTTACAATAGTATGGGGCTGTGCGGAAATTTTACCAAGTCATTTAACTTTGCTGATTTCCAACAAGACCTGAGAGCAACAGAGTATCGGAAGACAATTCTGTTACGGCTGAAGCGAAATATTCACATTGGTGTGAATCATTTAACAAATTAATGGATAAACACATGCCCAACAAGGCCATGGAACGAAACATATTTCTATAATTTGTAAAGAAGCGAGCAAATGAATAGGCGTTCTCATGAGACTCAGAAAACTCATCCCTACCGAGGCAAAACTGCGAATTTATAAAACAGCGATATTACCGCATCTGACCTATTGTAACCTTGTCTGGCACTTTTGTAAAGCAACGGACAAAAAGAAACTAGAACGAGTAAATGAAAGGGGACTTAGGGCGGTTTTTTACGGTATATACTTAAATGGTTTTCCCATTTCTAACAGATTGTTACTTGAAACTACCTTAAAACTAAGAACTAGCATACCAAAAGTGTATTTATTTGTTAAATAATGAAATAACAACTACTAAACCGTAAATGAAGCGTTTGATTTCAATTTGTAGAACGACGCCATCTCCATTGTTTCCTCAAAACAACAAACTTGATATCCTTTGTATCTTTCAATTTCGCGTATCATAATAGGCATTTTAGATTAAACAATAAATATTTTAGGCTATCAAACTAACAGTTAAGTAGGGCTCCCATAGGATTACTTTCACAAGTATCGAGTTATGCAATCAGCTGTTTTTTACTGTCATTTTCGATCCGCTGCACCAGCATATAAGCATGTCAAAATGAAGGAGTTTTATTATGTTTTAATTTATTGTTTAGTTTTATTTTATTCCATAGTGTAAAGTGCCATAGAGTATTAGATATAGTGCTTTATAAATGTGGAATTTATTATTGTTATTATTTAAATTACACAGCATTGATTATTTGCAAGTGAGATATCTAATCTATCACCCCTTTTTTAGAATCCTTTACCCCAAGCTGCAGTGACCAGGATAGCATTCCTGATGAAGCGAGGTTGGATGCATTGCTTAATGATTTTAATAATTCTGATGGTAAGCAAAATTTTGTCAATTTCGTGTATTTGATGTTATGCAAATAGGGGCTCTGTCACTGGGGTACTGTTAGATTTGTCTGTGTATGTCAGGCTCTCAGAGGTAGGCAGAGTTAACTATATGGATAGGGCAAGGGAATAATATGTCAATTATCTAGAATGGGAATTAAGATTTTCTCATCGTTCTTATCTTTTTGTAAACAGATGAGTCCTCATCATAGCGAGCACTTCCAACAGTGTACAGCTAATCTTCAATCCTTGAGTCACTGCCTGAGCTGTGTGATTTCATTGATCAACCTATTACATACTACCTGGTTGATAGTGGGACAAAAAGAGGGAGAAACAAACTAATCGACAATCTGGGGTTCACTTACAACATCTCAAAGAAAAGGCCTTATGCGACTTACTGGCAGTGTACTGTCTGCCCTCAAGGAAACCAATGCAAAGCAACAGTGACTGAGAGGGATGGACAGTTTACTGTTGGTAAGACTGCCCACAACCATGCAGTTCAAGTCGGTGCTCTGACAAGTGCAAAAATTGTCTGAAGTAAAAGAAAAGGCTATGAAAGACAAGTATAGACCAGCATCTGCAATAGTTGACGAGGTATGTGTACAATAACATTCAAGTGAAATGAATGAAAATAAGGCATAATTTTACTATGCTCACACATGTTTTCCTGTTTTTTCTGTTTTATACAGGTCCTGCTCAAGGAACTTAGTGACACTGCTCCATGTGCATCTCTACTGAAACTAATAATGACATCGAGGGCTGACATAATGCCCTTAATCGCAGGGCACAAAGCAGATGCAGCTTGCCCTTTTACATGCTTATTGACATGTTATATACAGAAGCCAAATTGACACTTGTCGAAATCAAGCTTGTGTCTGATGGTAAACTAAGTAAATTCCAAGGAAAGGTGTACAGACAACAACAAAGAAAGATTTTCAAAGCTTAGGAACAGTATGAATCCAGAGAGAAGAACGCCAAGCAGCTCTTAAGACAAATTTAAAAAATGAAGGGCCCTAATGGCATCAACAAGTGAAGCCATTCCAGCTATGTTTTTAGTGTACTGAATAGGGAATATGTCTCTTTCATTATAAAGTAGGGGGAAATGCATATATTTTGATCTTTTTGTGGGTTTAAAGGTACAACTGATGCAGTATGAAGGAAATGATATCAATAACCCTGCGCATTCACTATCATGTATTATTTCATTCTCAAGAACTGACTTGCTTTGAAGTGAATCAGTTAATAGTCCTTCACCCTTAAACAAATTATCCAAATTTACTTCAGTTTCACAAACATCTACAGTTCTTGGAAGATTAACTGGTGATTGCTGGTTGTGTTCTAAAATTGATTTACAACACATCTTTTTGCCTTTGTCAACAATGGTGGGTAAGGATGAGT